TATGTACAAGCATCATTGGAATGAGAGAATTACGGAAGGAGCTGGAGGGGGAGATTTGTAGAATTCTAGCTCCCAGCAAGCCTAGTCCATCCTCCATACCATGGGATGGTCTTCCATCTCCTGCCCACTGAAGAGAAACATGGAGAGGCATGGATTGTAGCATGGGCACCATTGAATATGTCTCCAGCCTTGCCTATCAATAGGATGATCTTCCATTGTTCAATGGCATCAAAATTCGGAGTGAAAAGTAGTAAGAGTTGATGGTCCCGGATAGAGGTAAAAGTCTAGGGGGGGGGGGTGAATAGACTTTTAAAGCTTTTTCGGCTTTAAGAACTCTTCCCTTCTAGATGAGTTGATCTATAATCTTTTGGGAGATTAATAGAGGCACAGCGGAAGTCTTTAACCTCTTGATTCTCAGTATGAGACAACTTTCTAGTTTGGGTAATGTTAGGACTGATTATGGATAGGCAGTAGGCTTGGCAGTTGGCTGGTGGGCAGGCTACTGCTGAGGCAACTGCTGAGTTGGCAGTTGGCAGTTGGCTGGAAGGCAGAAGACTGCTAAGGCAACTTCTGGTAAACAGGATGACTTATGGAATATTTTCAATAGGCTTTTTGTTTTGGTCAGTTAAGACTACTGCTTAGGATGCTGCTGGCAAACTACAATCCTTTTGTGAGAAGTGTTTGGTGTGTGTTTTGTTATTTTGAAAGTAAATCAACACACGATATATCCTGGTTTAGAGGTGGTGTAATCCCCCTACATCCAGTCACATTCTCTTTCAAATGGATTTCCACTAAAGTATTAAGCCCAATACAATTAGTGCCAATCTAGCCTTAACAACTCTGGCCTAGATTGAAGGTGTTTCACGAGGAGTATAACACCACTCCAAGTTACTCAATCCTTAAGACTTTTCTCAATTGATCCAGTGGGGATCAAAAGGTACTCTATCTATCTAACCACACTATAGGATCCGAACAACTGCTCTCCTAAGTGTTTACAACACTGTGAAATGTTTCACGAAATTTCTGGCCACCAACTAAAATCTAAGCTCTAAAAATATAACAATGTATGATCTAGTCTAAGAGCTTAGTGAAGCATGAGTCAAAGCAGAGAGTGAAGTTGTGTTCAAACACTTTCTCTTTTGCTGGATATTCTTTGTGTGATTATAGAATCTCTTTGCTTTGAACTCAATAACTTGTTTTTGAACTCATGCCTCTGCCTACTTTTATAGGCTTCTCCAGTAGATTAATCTCCTCCGTTGGTTGAGAGGATTTAATCATTGACATCCAAAGTATTGTACTTTCGTCTTCTTGTGTTGGAGCAGGATAAGGATTTGTTTGAAGGCCAACTTGCTTCGTACGAAATGTCAACCCATACCTTAGGCCTTCTCTTTGCTGTTCACCTATTCATTAGGTCTTGGCATTGTCTTGCAACTACACTCGTGTAGTAAAGTGTGTGAACCAACCATACTTGTGTAGTAAAATATGTGACTCAGGTTATTTTGTACCAAGCAAATTTTGTACTGGTAGGATCTTTAAAATATCCCATAAAGGTAAAATGAAAATTACCTTATTGCATTTTGTTCTTTCCAGTACAACTTAATTGGTACAAAATATTACAATCAAATTTGTCACTTATTTTACTAATCACTCTCTTTTAAAGTGACATGATTAATCTATGTACAAAATAAAACTATACTGGTTGGATTTAAATATTCATGTAAGGTAAAGACAGTTTTACCTTATTCCAGTATGTTTAATTTGGTACATAGCTTTTACATAGGTGATTTTGTCACTTTTAAGTTTGTACAACTAGCTAACTAACTGGTAGGATAAGAGATCCTATTAAGGTAAAAGTTATTACCTTATTGCATTTTGTATTCCAGTTAGTTTGTACAAATTTCTTGTTCATTTGATTAATCTATATATCAAACAGAACTATACTGGTTGGATTTAAATGTCCATGTAAGGCAAAGACAATTTTACCTTATTTCATTTTTTGTTTCAGTATATTTTATTTGGTATATAGATTTTACATTGTTATTTGTCACAATGAACATAGTACTTTTGCTTGTTGTGAGTATGCTACTTGAATGTATAGTAGACATGTTGATTTTAGGAACCCAAAGCATAAGTGACCATTCCATAATCTAACACTTATAAAGAGGAGGGTGGCATCATCAAAACAATTATGTTGACTATCAGAGTCTAGGGGCCCTAACAAGAGTAATACACACAGAGTGAGTGCATGAGAGGGTTGATATTTTTGTAATAGTTGAGTGAGAGAGTTGTTCCTCCTATTGTAATTCTGTTATGGTTATGAATACAAGAATTTTCCAATCCTAACAGCATTTTGGGTTTAAGGCTTCACCCTTATTTTTGTTTTTGGATGAAAGTAAATCTATACAACAAAAGTACATCTTCATAGGGGCATTCCCCAGTTTCAGTACAACAAGTAGTATTTAAAATCAATGCTACTGCAATACAACAAAAAATAGTATCAAACCCAATGCAACCAGTTGGAAACTCCAAAAAAACTGAATAAAAAACTCTCAAAATCATGAAGCACAACCTAACACCAAATTGAACATAAAGAAAAACCTGCAATTGTTCCAGCCCCAAAAAAAACCCTTCAAAAATCAATCATGGCATGGGGATATAATATATATTATATTCTATAAATCACCACCTTAATTTGTTTTATCATAGCATCAACATTAGTGTTAGTACCCCCAAAGATGCCTTCATTCCTTTCCTTCCATATGGTGTATACTGTGCAACCCAAAGCAAGTTTTATCGTTTTGCTCTTCAATCTTGCACCTCTAAAATCTCTCCTCAAATACTTAACGTCACCGTGGAGAGTAGAAATATTTCTTGTCACTCCCAGCCAGCAACAAATATTCCTTCAGATAAAGCTAGTGAATGGGAAACTAAAGAGGTGGTCCACCGTTTCAAGTTGTTCGGAGCACTATATGCAAGTTCTATCTCTTTCCAAAAAATAGAGATGCCCTGCCATTGGTAGCCTATTCTAAAAGCATAACCAAAGAGTGAAAGAGATCCTAGGTGGTACGTATCTCTTCCAAATAAAGATCATCCAAGGCTTTCTTACACTTTTTGTTCTTAACATATCATACACACCTGTTGTAGACAATTTGCTATTAACTGAAATAGCCCATAACTTAGCAACCAATATTTCCTGGTTTCCAGTCCTGTCCAACAATGTCCTTTGGATACCATCCAATTTTTTTAATAGAGGATACACTCTATTGTTTGGACACCACTCTCAGATGGACATACCTTTCAGATAAACTCCATGAAACCATTTAATCCATAAAGTGTCTTTTTTTGCATGTATATTCCACAAAGTTTTTGCTAGTAACACAACATTCCATATTTTGGGATCCTTTAGCCCCAAACCCCTTCTTCCTTGGGTTTACAAATGTCGGTCCAAGCTACTTTGGCCCTTTTCCCATTCCATAAAAAGTTCTGGCAAGTTGTAATAATCATATTAATAATCGTAACGGGGATTGGAAAGGATTGCAGCCAGAATGAGTGCACCCCCTGAACAACTGCCTGATGAGCTCAACTCTCCCGACATAAGATAGTGATTTAGTCTTCCAATTCTCGACAAAGCCATCGATCATCTCGATTAGGGACCCGAACTGGGCAACATACACTCTAAGGGGTGCCAAGGGAACCCCAAGGTATTTGACTGGAAAGCATCCTTCTTGAAATCTAGTGATAGCAATGATATCCTCCCTTTCTTGGCCAGAAACTCCTTCCAGGAACATATCAAATTTGTTTAGGCTAACGGCAAGGCCTGAAACCTCCTTAAACTCTTTCAAGCACCCCAGGAGTGTATTGACCGACCCGATGTCACCTCTAGAATACAATATTAGGTCAAATTCTTGCCTATAAACACTTTCCCTCTTCATGAAAGATACAAAAATTCTTGTATATATTGTTATTTTGTCAAATTTATTACACAACTTTATCACTCCAAATTTGCTCCAGTTGTAATATTGTACTCTCTTTATCTCTTATTACATCCTTTCTTTTCTTTTCTAGATGTTCCACTTCAAATAAAAATTCATTTTCTCTTTTAATCAGATGAATTTGTGGTTTCTATTATTTCTCTCATCTACACAAATTTTAACCACACCATTTTTACTTAATTATTGTTGGGCTTTAGTACCACTACAAGAAAATAGGGCTTTTGGCCACACACGTATTGTTGGTAAAAATATAATTATGTGTGGGAAATAACATTTACCCACACATATAGTAAGTGTAATGATGTGTGGGTAAAACTTTGTAGGTAAAACGTATTGCCCACGCATGATATTATGTGTGTAATTATTTGATATTTACCAATACATTGTTGTATGAGCAAAACTTAAGAATATGTGTGGGCAAATACCGACATGATGACATGGTTTTTTAACGTGGCGCATTACGTGGCGGATGACGAGGCAAAAAATGGATGATGTGGCATGTGACGAGACACAATGCGTGATTGTTGATGTGGCGCAAATCGGTGACGTGGCCGCTGACGTGTCACCTTGGTTGAGACGTACTGTGTAAATGATGCCACATGGAATCATTTATACGCGGGTAAAAATATCAATATGCGTAGGTAAAACTCCACGTTAAGTGTAGGTAAAACCTCAATTTATCATTTAAACTACTGAATTTAATTATACAATATCAATTATACAATGTGATATAGTTTTAAAATGAACCACATTAATGTCAAAGTTGTCCACAATATGGCAACACAAAATCAAAATCAAAATCAAAATCAATCCTTCGACATCTAATTTTCAATTCTAACAAAGTCAAACATGGAAATAAAAACTTGGAATGTCAACATATTAGACTTCAAATACTACCAAACTTAAAATGTATATTTAGTCTCATGTAAACGTATCTTCTAGTCATCAAATTCAGAAGTCACATCCTCATAGCCGTCATAGTGTGGACCTCATCCAATAGAAGGTGAGCCGTGATTGAGTCCAACGGAACAATGATCTAATGGAACATGTGGCATGGGAGACATAATATTCTTCTCAATCAACATTTTTCCATCATTTCAACACGATTAAGCAATTCACTATATGTTGGAAGATTCGAATCATCTCTACTTTTTTTAGATGCACCAGAAGGAGACCGTCCCCAACCAACCAAACGGATTCCCGTCCAAGCACCTTCTCTAAAATTCGCTTATCAGTCATTTGTTCAGGTAAATTTTCTCTTCTCAACTACATCATTTCTTCCTATTAAGTTATTAATGAAATAACAACAACTCATTAGTTAATGGTAGATATTTTCAATGTGTGTGTGTATATATATGTGTATGTATATTTGGTAAATAAAGTAAGAAAAATAATTCAAATGAACTTGTCACATGAAAAACCCCAAAATAAAACATACTTACACGCATATTTAGATTCCACCTTTTCCAAAATTCAACCACGTTCTGAATGCCAATGACGGAGGCGCCATGTCCCAATATGTCTAACATGAGCATCCCTTACAATTCGAATCCATGACTAACATGATGGCGGACCGTACTTGTTGAACCATTTCTAGAATCTCATTTTCTTTTTAGCACAACTCAGCATTTTTAGAGCTATAACCTATAGTTCAAATTTTTACCAAAACCAGAGCATTCATTTAATCCGGGAAAGTGCAAATATAACTTACCAGGTTGTTTTAAAACTGCTTCGGATGGTTGAGATGCTCCCAAACCTTTATTTTTACATAGTCACTTTTAAATAAATGGGCATATATAAACAAACATTTACCTGAGATTAAACACCAAAAGTTTCAGTTTTCATAAATCAACATCAATTAATCGTAACTAATTAAATCTTCATTAGTTTGAGCTAAATCCAACATGAACACTCAGGCGGAATTCAAATTACCAAGTGCAAAAGGCCAAGCTCAAGAGATGGAAAGTCAAATGATGGATAAAGCTAATGATACTGCCTCATTAGAGGGTGGCTGCTAAGGCACAAAGAGCTGCTGAAAGTGTAAAGGATGCAATGGGCATGAACACATAATATCAATCTCAAAATCATCAACACGCCATACGTATTAATGTATACTCATTGAGAAATCTTAAATTCATATAATAATATATAAACCTCCTTACGTATTAAAAAAAACAAACATTTACTTGATAGTAACTGATTTCACTAACCTGTTTGAGCCTCTTCAATGGGAGACCGATTCATAATAGGAATCCTACCATGTCCACCATGGTCACTAAACCCACCTCTTTCTAAAGTAGCCATTGTGAACTTTGTCCAACATTTTAATATAAAATTAAAGGAAAATAAAAATGAATAAATTAGTAGATTACATCGATAGAATAACTCCTTGAATTAAGGCGATCACGTAAAGGAAGGACATGTTGTCCTTCCATCACTATTTAAGTTCTGTTTGGCGACATTTATGAATTCTTTGATGCTAGCCATATATGTCGGGACATCCCGGTTTGAAGACTTCACCCAATCACGGTTCATATTATGAGTTTACTACTAATGATAACTATGAAACATATAAACAAAAACAAGTAGAAAGACAAGATTAGAGAAACATTTCAGTTTTGTTAGAAGTTGACAGTTTGTAAATGTTTTGAACTTAAAATGTGAAACTAGTAAAAACATACATCTTAAAGAGAAACAACGTGCAACCAATCTCAATGCACGTGGTCTGATATTGAGTCGGATGTTTCGGGGGATACATTTTATGCACTATCAGATGAGCTTTATTCATGTTCAGATGATAAGTCAAATAGTAGTCATGATACAATAATATAGTCGCACTGGCCAGTTTTCAATGAAACAAATTAAATGACATAAAAAATCGTGAGTTCAAAGTTTGCATGATTTTCAACACTTTCAAGTAGTTTAAAGATGCAGTGAAGATAAATTCAGTAAAATCAAAGGACAAAGTTATTTTCTGTCCAAATTAAATAACAAAAAAAAGTAAAGCCATGTATAAAAACAAATGTGGTTTCTACATTTGGGCATATCTCACAAATCCAGATAAGAGTGCAGTTCATATCAAATTAAAAGTGCAAACCCGGAACATCATTGTGCAAAGGTGAACTACAACTGACATATTAATGCAAAGTTCATCGCTAATTATTATACTGAGAGTTTTAGCATTGAACCTACATGGTTGATTGCAAATATACAAACAAGTGTGAAAAGAGATTTCGGTGTGGAAATTTCAAGGAACATGACTGCGAGAGCTAGAGACATAACCATTAGGTTTATTCATAGAGATGAGATTAAGTGGATGGAAAGGTTGCAATCACATGGACATGAACTTTTAAAAATCAATGTAACCCATGGTCAAAGGTTGTGTTTGATTTGGAGGATCAAGAGTTTAAGTTAATGTATGTATGATCATGTCCTTGAAAAAGGGATTCAAGTATTGTAGGAGACTTATTTAGTTTGATTGATGGCACTTGGTTGAAAGGTATATATGGAGGGTAATTGTTAATCGAAGTAAGTATAATTGCAAATGATTGCATTTATCCATTTCCTTGAGTTCTGGTTCAGATGGAGAACAAAACAAACTGGAAGTGGTTCTTAGAGCTTGTTTCAAAAGATGTTGGGATTGATGAAGACAGCCGATTTGTTTATATGTTCTTTCATGCTAGTATGCATTTAACAAGTGTATATCTCACCTAAGTTTTTATTGTTCATAACTTGTTGGGGTTGATCCCTGCGATTGAGGAATTATTTCCTGCAGCTAAGCACACGTTTTCGAAAGAATTGTAAGAAAATCAAAAGTAAAATACGACGAATGATTTTGTATATCCAACTCATCCTATATACATAAAAGCAAAACCCCTCTCCCTAGAACTTCCCGCCTCTCTCACCTACGTCACACTCTTAATAGCCCGTTTAATTTCTTGGAAAGTTACTCACTGGAAGCAATAAAACAATTCATACGTTTTTCGCTTCACTGCAGATTTCTCGCTTGAATGTAATTCAATTACTTGTCAGTTAGATCCAGTAAATTCCAGAAACTGAATGAAAGGTCAAGTGGTCAAAACGTGTTTCTTGGATTCAATCTCCTGCCAGAAATCGCTTAGTTCCATATTGCAGAAGTCTTTCTTGCCCGTTTCTCTTCAAAGAAATCGATCATGGCCCTTATCGCCGATGGTTAAAGCCCTAGACGCCGTCTTCCAATCATTCATCCCTATCGATCGTCGATTATCTATCAGCGGATCGGGTCGGCGATATCCAACTTGACCTATTCCTTTACTCAATCGTCGATTTTCCATTCTCATTTTTCATTCATGCTCACCTCTTCCAATTTTCCCGGCTTTTCCGTTCTCCATCCGTGTCAGCTTGCATTATTATCTTACCACTTCTTCCGGCATCATCACATCAATTTCAGCGCCGCCTTTCGATTTCATCTTCCGTTGACATAAACATCCCCTCCCCCGATTTTATTTTCTCTAATTCATTTCAACTTAACGAATCACGGAAGCGGTTTCTTCAATTTATTCCTCATCTGAAACATGAACTTCACGTCTTCCATCGTCTTCTTTTCCATCATCTTCTTCCTTATCATCCTCCTTCACCATCCAGATCAATTCAGTTTTGAAACAGCTTCCTGTGTGTCTTTCATGCACGATTTATTTTGATCCATTCTATTATATTGAACTGCTGCATATTACTTTTAGTTTGTCCAACATAAGGTATTAACTTTAGCCTTGTTTTGAGCTATTGATTGATGGCTCATTTTGGTTTTGCATTATATCTCCGCTTTTCAAAAAAAATTTTATTTTTTCTTGCTTTGTACTCCCTCCGTGCTGCTAAGATTGTCCTATTTTACCTTTTCGATCCGTCCCACTGATAAGTCCGTATTTAGACACGCATTTGATGCGTGTTCAGGTCGGATTTTGATGATTTTCCTGGCTTTAAGGCGTTGCAAGTCTCAATTTTGGCTCAAGTTGTGTTTAACAGGCGTTGGATCGAGTTTCATAGCATTTGGAGTTGATTTGAAGAAGTTAGAGTCCGGCAATCGGCGCTTGAGAGGCATTCGGGAAGGGTTTGAAGGCATTCGAGAGAGATTTGGAAGATTTGGAGGCCACCGGGAGATTCACGACGAAATTCTGGTGAAGAAAGAGCACTTGGATCGACGTCGTAGGCATTCGGGAGCATTCGGAATGAGAAACGAAGAAAAACAATGAAGAAATGGCTAGGCACGGCCGTGCCTAGGCCAGGCACGATCGTGCCTGCCATCTGAATCAACGTGAAGCTACTGGCAGCCAGACACGATCGTGTCCGGCGCAGGCACGATCGTGTCTGCATATTTTTTGCGCGTTTCTTCCGCAGGCACGGTCGCAGGCACGATCGTGCCTGGCACCGTGCCTGGCCGCGATTTGTCCTAATTCGACCCGAATTCACTGTTTTCTATAAATAAGGCCTCCATAACCCCGATTTGGGGTTACGAACTTTGGAGAGAGGCCTAGGGACGAGTTTATCTGCGTTTTTTACGTTGTTTAATCCAAGAACCTGGGATTCTTTGTAAGTTCAATTCTTTAATTAATGACAATTATTTCTATTCATCTCAATTCTTTTGATTCGTCAATTATGAGGCGTGAGTAGTTTAATTAGGGATTTGGGGTTGATGAAGGGGTTAATCATGATTGATGGCTAGATTCTTGTCAGTTTAATTGCATGAATGCCGTTTAATTTGTGTTTGAATAATTTAATTGATATCTCTTGTAACCTAGACTGCAGCTAGAATTACAATTGCATGTAGAATAAATTAAGAGAGATCTAATTTGTTCTAGGACACATTCACACACACTTAATCGTTCGCTAAGAGATTAGTAGCGATTAAGGGGCCGTAAGCTCGCTCGTTTTGGCAATAATTTAGGATCCTGTCGCATGAGAGATCAGCCTGGTCCCCTAAATTATTGTACTCTACGCCGCGAGAGCGGTAAGAACTTAGTAATGATTAGCTAGGCTCAATTAAATTAAATTCATGTGATTAAGCCTGTTCTGCCAGAAATCTGATTAACCCCGGAATCAATTCCTGTTCCCTTCGTCGTTAATTAAGGAAAACCAAATCTTTTTATCGCTCATTAGCATTAGTTTTAATTTTAATTCAATCAATCAATCTCGCACACTTGCATTTTATTTTATTTTAGTTTTATTCGCTGAATTTAGTTAATCTTTAATTCCCTTTTGTCCGTCCCTGTGGAGACGATACTCGTACTTTCAACCACTTTACTACATCATTTTTAAGTGCGAGAAAACACACATCAGTTTTTGGCGCCGTTGCCGGGGACGGTGTCGGATTTAAGGGTTAATTAATTTTAGCGACCTGTTTTTAGTTTTTCGTAGGATTTTTGTCTACTAACCTTGCAGGTCAGATCTGTTTATGCATACACGCTCTAAGAAGGGAGAATCACTAGTCCCTCTTAATCCTGAGATCGAGAAGCTAGCTAAACAGAACCGCAAGGCCTTAAGAGAACAGAAAGCAGCCATGGATCAACCATCCGCATCTGGAATAGCTGGGACGTCTGAGGTCCAAACCACTTCTGGTAATCTGGATTTTTATGTTAATACCTCTCCCCAGTCTTCACAAGAAAATTCACCAAGAGCTTATCCGGGGTATCAAAATCTCCGTACCCCATTCTTCCACCAAAATCAGTCCACTCCACAACTGAATCTTCCACCACTCTATCAGCTCTTTCAAAACACTTCTATTGCTCCCGAACCCACCTTTCAAAACCAAACCTTTGGGATGCAAGGTCTAGGGCAAAATAATCCGGTTTTTCAGCCCAGACAGAACCAACCGCCAGTCACACAAAATCCACCCCCTACTCAGCCACAAAATCAGCCTTTCCAACCCCAATATAATCAATTCCATCAAACCCAACCTCAGCCAAATATCATCCGTCCACAACCCATAAGACCACAACCAGTTCATCAGCCGAGATATCAAGCTCCCCCTTACCACAACTATGTTCCACATGACAATCCACTCTATCAAGGAGAGAGCATTGCAGACTTCTTAGCCCCCGAGATCACAGAGTACGACAGCATTC